AGATGGAAATCATACAAAGCATCTTCTCTAACTACAATGGATTGAAACCAGCAATCAATAACAGAAGGAAAGCTGGAAAATTCACAAATAGGTGGAAATTAAACAACACAGCCATAAGCAAACAATGGATCAAAGAAGAAATCAAAAGGAAAGTTAGAAAATACTTTGACATGAATAAAAACTAAAACACAACATAAAAAATGTATGTGATACAGTAAAGGCAGTCCTTGGAAATGTATAGATATACACGCTTACGTTAACAAAGAAGAAAGATCACAAATTAATAACCTAACTCTCCACTGTAAAGAACCAGAAGGAGAAGACTAAACCCAAAGCTAGCAAAAGGAAGGAAATAATAAAGATTAAGGCAGAGATAACAAAATAGGGAATAGAGAAACAACAGAGAAAATCAATGAAACCAAAAGTGGGTTCCTTGAAAAGTAAAACAAAATTGACCAATCTTTAGCTGGATTTACTATGGCAAAAAGAGAGAAGACACAAATTACTAAAATCAGAAGTGAAAGGGGACAATCACTACTGACCTTAAAGAAATAAAAAGAATTATAAGACAATACTATACATTTGTATATCAACAAATTAGATAACCTAGAGGAAAGGGATACATTCCTAGACACACCCAAATTATCAAAATTGACCCAAGAAGAAATAGAAAATCTGAATTCACCTATAACAAGTAAAGAGATTGAATCAGTAATCAAAACTTCCCAACAAAAACAACAAAAAAGACCAGGACCAGATGGCCTCACTGATGAATTCTACCAAACTTTGAAGGAATAATCCACACCAATCCTTAACAAATATTTCAAAAACAATGGAAGAGAGAACACCCTGATTTTGCGAGTCCAGCATTGCCATGATTCCAAAGCCAGATAAAGGTATCATGAGAAAAGGACACTATAGACCTATATCCCTCATAAAAACACATGCAAAAATGCTAGCGAACCAAATCCAACAACATATTAAGGCAATTGTATAGCATGACGAGTTTGGTTTTACCCCAGGATTGCAAGGAGGTTTGCATATGAAAATCACTCAATATAATATACCATATTAATAAAATGAAGGAAAAAAATAACATAATCATCCCAATTGATGCAGAAAAGCATATGACAGGGCGCCTGGGTGGCTCAGTCGGTTGGGCGACTGCCTTCGGCTTGGGTCATGATCCTGGAGTCCTGGGATCGAGTCCCACATCGGGCTCCCTGCTCGGCAGGGAGTCTGCTTCTCCCTCTGACCCTCCCCCCTCTCATGTGCTCTCTCTCTCTCTCTGTCAAATAAATAAATAAAATCTTTAAAAAAAAAGAAAAGCATATGACAAAATCCAATACCTTTTCATGCTAAAAACACCTAACAAACTAGGGATAGAAAGCATATGTGAAAAATCCATAGCTAACATCATACTCAATGGTGAAAGACTGAAATCTTTCCCCCTAAGATCAAGAATAAGACAGGGATGTTTGCTCTTTGCACTTTTATTCAACATTCTACTGGAAGTGCTAGGCAATTAGGCAAGGAAAAGAAACAAAAAGCATGCAAATTGGAAAGGAAGAAGTAAAACTATCTCTATATACAAATGACATGATCTCATATATAGAAAATTATATATGTGTGTGTGTATATGTATATATAGTTGTAGTCAATATAATTATAATGGATAGTCAGGTGGGGAATTTCAAAGAGCAATGGAAACTATAAAAAAGGAACCAGATAGAAATTCCTAGAACTGAAAATTACAATGTTTGGGGAAAAAATTCCCAGATAGATTTTGTGTTCTCATAAAAGCAAAAGAAAATACCAAGTGAATTTATACAGAGAAGTCAATGAAAAAGAAATAATATGAAGAAAAGAAATTAAAAGATTAACAAAAAATGAAATTCTAAAGAATCCCCATAAATCTAGGAGAGCTAATAAGTGAATTAATCAAAATTAAAAGATACAGGATCAACAAACAAAAATCAGTTGAACTTCTATACACTGGGCATGAGCAATCTAAAAAGGTAATTAGGAAAACTCTTCCATTCACAATGACATCAAAAAGAAAAAAAATACTTAGAAATAAGTTTAACCAAAGCGGTGTGAGACTTGTACACTATAAACTACAAAACATCACTGAAAGAAATTAAAGACCTAAATAAATGAAGACATCCCGTGTTCATGGAATTGGAAGACTTAATGTTAAGACGGTGATACTCCCCAAAGTGATCTAAAAATTCAATGCAATCCCTATCAAAATCCCAATGTGCTTTTTTTTTTTATTTTAAATATTTTATTTACTTATTTGAGAGAGAGAGAGTGCGCATGAGCTGGGGGAGGGGCAGAGGGAGAAGCAGACTCCCCACTGAGCAGGGAACCCAACGTGGGGCTCAATCCCAGGACCCCGAGATCACGACCTGAGCTGAAGTCAGATGCTTAACCCACTGAGTCACCCAGGCACCACTCCCAATGTGCTCTTTAGACGATATGGAAAAACTTATTGTAAAACTGATATGGAATTGCAAGGGACCCCAAAAAGCCTAAACAATCTTAAAGAAAAAAAGGAACAGAATAGGAGGATTCTCACTTCCTGATTTTGAAACTTACTACAAAGCTACAGTAATCAAGACAGTTGGTACTGACATAAGCAGAGACATACAGATCAATGGAATAAAATTGAAAGTCCAAAAATAAATCCATTCATCTGTGGTTAACTGATTTGCAACAAGTGTGCCAAGAACATTAAATGGAGGAAACAATAGTCTTTTCAACAAATGGTGCTGGGACAACTGGATAGCCATGTGCAAGAGAATGAAGTTAAACCCTCTCTCACACCATATATAAAAAAGAACTCAAAATGGATCAAAGACCTAAATATAAGAGCTAAAACTTTTAGAAGAAAACATAGGGGTAAATTTTCATGATCTTAGAGTGGGCAATGGTCTCTTTGATACGACACCAAAAGTACAAGTACCAAAAGAAAAAAATATCAATAAATTGGATTTCATCAAAATTAAAATATTTTTTTAAATGTTATTCTTTTGAAAGAATTAAAAGACAACTCACAGAATGGGCAAAGTATTTGCAAATCATATATCTGAAAAGGGTCTAGTATCCAGAATATGTAAAGAACTCATAATTCAACAACAAAAAACCAAACAACACAATTAAAAATGGGCAAAGGACTTGAATAGACCTTTCTCCAAAGATAAACAAATGGCCAATAAGCATATGAAAAGATGCTTAACAGCGTTAGCCACTAGGGAAATGCAAATCAAGACCACAATGAGATACCACTTCACAGCCACTAGAATGACTATTTTTTTTAAAAAAAATGGAATATAACAAGTGTTGACTAGCATTTGGAGATAATCAGAACACTTATACCTAAGCAGGGGGGAATGTAAAGTGGGGTAGCTGCTGGGGAAAACAGTTTGGTGGTTCCTCAAAAAGTTAAATATGGAATTACCATATACTCCAGCAATTCCGCTCTTAGGTATGCATGCAAAAGACTTGAAAACAAGTGTTCAAACAGAAACTGTATATGAATGTTCAGAGCAGCATTATGCACAATAGCCAATAGGTAGATAGGACCCAAATGTCCATCAGTGGATGAATAGCTAAACAAAACATAGTATATCCATACAATGGAGTATTGTTCAGCCACAAAAAGGATTGAAATACTACAACATGGATGAACCTCAAAAAAACTGTACTAAGTGAAAGAAGCTATATGCAAGAGGCCATATACTGTATGATTACGTTCATATGAAGTATCCAGAATGGGCAAATCCAGAGGCAGAAAGCAGATTGGTGGTTGCCAGGGGCTGAGAGGAGGGAGGAATGATGAGTGACTGCCTGATAAATATGGGGCTTCTGTTCGGGGGAACCAAAACTACTATCAATTCAATCCTTCTACCAATTCAGACTAATTTGTCTGATTTAGTGGTATTCTGCAGAAAATACATATAGTCTAAATCCATAAATCAGTGAGCATCCATATCCACCTACCACCTGCCTGTGCTTTAAGTTTGTTCCTAACTTGATTGCTTTTTTTGTTGTTGTTGACTCATCTAACTGAAGGCTGCTTCCCTCCATAGGATCTTTTAACATCAAAACAGTTTTGTGCTGACTCGCCAATTATCTTCATTATCAATTACCTTTCTGTTTACTTTTTAGTTCCCAAGGTTAATTGTTCTAAACTCTACTTCACTTTAAAAGTCCTTTCAAGTTTGGGGTGCCGGGGGGGGGGGGGGGGGGCGCTCAGCTGGTTGAGCATCTGACTTCAGGTTTCAGCTCAGGTGGGATTGAGCCCTGGGTTGCGCTCAGCATAGAGTCTGCTTGTCCTGCTCCCTCCCCCTCTGCCCCTCTGCTCTCTCTCTCATAAATAAGTAGATAGATAGATAGATAGATAGATAGATAGATAGATAGATAGATAGATAGATAGATAACCTTTAAAAGTCCTTTCAAGTTCAACAACAACCAATTAAATTAACCACACATTAGGTTGAGAATGGAAGTATTGATATGGGCACAATCTACTAATTTTTCAGTTGTTGATGGATATTATTTGGTTGACAAACCTAGATGTCCGAAATGCACATGCATGCCCTCTCATGTGTCAAATGATTTTTCATACGGGTGTGTGTCTACCAGACAATACTACATGCCCTAACCTTTGAGATTTTGGCTTTCGAAAACATAGAGGCTTTACTTCCATAAAAATCTCCATTGTTTTCTTCCCCAAATAACTGAAAACATCTGCAAACTCTTATTGTTTTCTGAAATACCATCTTCCATTGCTTATAAACTAAAGTGCTAATTATTTGGTTTGTAGAATTGGACAGAAAATGTAAACCACCAGGCAAATCAAAAGTCAAAAATGGCTGCTTCTTCCCCAAACGGCCCCCTAGTTCTAAGCTACAGCAGAAGAGAGTGCAAGAGATTATGCCTCTGACCTGTGTCTCCCAACCAAACCTACCACTTCGGATGGGGCTAACACTCACCTTCTTCAGTGTCACGACCTTGAGTGGTAAAGTTTTCTTCTGTGGGGACTCCTCGTCCACAGAGATTTCTTCAAGGTCAGCAGAGATTGTGTCAGACTGGAGAAGAGAGGGGCTGCTGCTGGAGTGGCGTGGGCGCAGCGAGGGGAGCTGCCAAGGAGGAGAGTAGAAGGACAAAAGTTAAAACTTGTGTGCTTTCCTCCAAATTACTGGCGTTCTCTTGTTGCTTAATGGTTGAAAGACTAAGACCCCAAAGTGAAAAAACAAGCCAAGAAAAGATTTCCTTCCTCCCTCTCTTCACTTTCGGTACCTATGCAAACCAAAGACCAATAGCCTTGGGCCACGCTCTGGGTCGTGGCACACTTTTGCCAATCCCCAAAGACAGAAACTTCGAACTGCTTGTTTGATCAAAACCAGAATTCTGGTGTTCTCTCTCTACTGATGCTAGCTATAAATCTTCTTTGAGTCTGATCTTTGTTTTGATTTTGGCCCTGTCTTTGGAAGTCTGGTTCTTGTGGAGGTTGAGTTTTGGGGTTAAGATCTAGGCTTAGCATCCAAACTATAATCCTTGCTCCTATCATTTCAGGAATTGTCTGGATCAGATCTTGACTCTGTTGGTTGTTTATCTTAATCCTGTCAAGACTGATCTTCTGGAATTATTAGAAAATCTACAGAACTAGCCCTGATTAGAATTGCTTTCTTAGTTTTCCTAAGGGGATAAAATTGATCATTTGGGTTTTCCTTGGGCTTCGGCACACTAATTTAGTTCATTCCAATTTGAACCTCATGGCACACTTGAATCTGAGGCACTGGTCTCCGCCATGGTCATTTGGATGTGGATCGGAATCTCTGATTTGATCTTTAACAAATACTGGTCAAGCATCTATAGTGTGCCACACCCCATTCTAAGCTTTGGGCCTATGGCAATGAACAAAACAAAATCTTTGCTGACCTGGAGCTGACATGCTTTCTTCTGTCTCCTGTTCAGGACAGATGGCCTTCAAACTCTCAAAGCCAAAGACAAGGGGCCCTGAGGAGGATTTGTCCAAGGTTCTGCCCCTGGAGAACTCCTGGCTAGTGTCTAAGGTGCCCCCTTATTACTAGCAGGCCCCACTGGGGGCTCTTGAGAAGAAGTCTCGTTGCTTCACCAGCCCCAAGCCCGATTCTAATAACAATAATGACAACTAACTTTTACTGAGGGCTTTACTCTGCTTTAATCTGTATCATTTCCTTCCTTTTGCTAGCTTTGGGTTTAGTTTGCTCTTCTTTTTCTAGTTCCTTCAGGTGAAGGGTTAGGTAGTTATTTTTTTTTTAAATTTTTTTTTTTAAAGATTTTATTTATTTATTTGACAGAAACACAGCGAGAGAGGGAACACAAGCAGGGGGAGCGGGAGAGGGAGAAGCAGGCTTCCTGCTGAGCAGGGAGCCCGATGTGGGACTCGATCCCAGGACTCTGGGATCATGACCTGAGCCGAAGGCAGACGCTTAACGACTGAGCCACCCAGGCGCCCCGGTAGTTAAGTTATTGATTTGAGATCTTTCTCCCTGCCAGGCAGGGAGTGTTCTTCATAGATGCCTTTCATTCTAAACGTGCAACAATTCTTTGAGGCACCTGCTCTTTCCCGATGGGGAAAACCAGGTCTGAGAGATGATGTGACTGGCCCTCATTCTCACGGTGGCCAAACAAGCATTTGAAAGGTCTGCCCGCCTTTAGAGCCCATGTTCTTAACCACTGCGCACTCCTGTCTCCTAACTGTAAGAGCCAGGAAGAGGGGATGTCCCATACTCAAGCTCAGGGAGTTTAAAGGCAACAACCAGAAGGGAGGGTGTGCCTCCTTCCTTAAGAAGGGCCGCAGAGGGAGAGTCAGGTCTGTGAGCAGTAAGAAAACTGCTTTGCAGCCTTTGCAGTTTCTTAAATTACTGAATTCAATTTGTTTCCACAAGAAGATGTTCACCATCTGCCAGTACCTCTTATCTATTTGTCCTCAAACAAAACGGACATGAAATGTCTTGGAGAGTAATCTAGGCGCCCACATTCCTAACACTTCAGGTAAGACAGCAGGTGAAAATCTGGCAGGGAATAAAACAGCAGTTCAGTCTTGGTATTTCTAAAAGAACGATACACCGGAGGTTCCTCTCGCACAATCTCCCAGTTGCTCGGAATGTCACATGATCCATTACGGATCCTGCCCCTTCAAGGAACCCAGCCATTGGCCATTTCCCTACTTGCTCAGCATCTATGTAGCCCGGGGGGGGGGGGTCAGGACCCTCGACTTGATGTCATTGAGGGTTGTGACCTTGGCACTTAAGGGAAGTCTCCCATGCAAAGATCGATCTGGTGGTTGATGGCTCGGGTTCGGTTAACACCCCACCCTGTCTTCAGCCCTGTTTCTCAGAAGAGGGACCACGGGAGCAGGCCAAAGATGTGAGGAGTGGGCCCAAACCAGCCATTTAAGAAAACTTGTCTTGGGGGGCGCCTGGGTGGCTCAGTTGGTTAAGCGTCTGCCTTCAGCTCAGGTCATGATCCCAGGGTCCTGGGATCGAGTCCCGCATCGGGCTCCCTGCCCGGCAGGGAGTCTGCTTCTCCCTCTGACCCTCCCCCTGCTTGTGTTTCCTCTCTCGCTGTGTCTCTCTCTGTCAAGTAAATAAATAAAATCTTTTAAAAAAAAAAAAAAAAAGAAAACTTGTCTTGGGGGGCGCCTGGGTGGCTCAGTTGGTTAAGCGACTGCCTTCAGCTCAGGTCATGATCCCAGGGTCCTGGGATCGAGTCCCGCATCGGGCTCCCTGCTCTGCGGGGAGCCTGCTTCTCCCTCTCCCACTCCCCTGCTTATGTTTCCTCTCTCGCTGTGTCTCTCTCTGTCAAGTAAATAAATAAAATCTTTAAAAAAAAAAAAAAAAAGAAAACTTGTCTTGGGCTATCATGGCTTTCCCTATCCACCCCCTTCATTGCAAGAGTAAATGCCCCTAGAATCTTTACCTTTAATTTTCAACCCCCTCCCCCCGCCAAATCATCCTTCTAGAGCAATGGCATGTCTGCTCTGAGTCTCTCTGTTGCTGGGACTAAGAGAAGAGGGAGAGAGGGAGACTTCCAGGACCCAGGTTTCCCCTTCCTTCCTTTCTTTTTTTTTAAATAGTGCTTTATTTTTTATTAACATATAATGTATTATTTGTTTCAGAGGTACAGGTCGTGATTCATCAGTCTTACACAATTCACAGTGCTCACCATAGCCCATACCCTCCCCATGTCCATCACCCAGACACCCCATCGCTCCCACCCAGGTTTCCCCTTTCTGCATGTGAGAAATCACCCTGTAGCACTTGGTTGTGTACATCTGGGTTTTTGCCACTGGGTGGCAAGGGAGTGTCGCTGTGGAGACAAGCAAAAGCCGGTGTTGGTGTTCAAAACTGAGGATTAGAAGTGACTTTTCCTGCTGTGGTGCAAGAGGGCAAGAGTCCGCTGACCTAGGCCTGCTTTATAACCATAAGATCGGACCCGCTGCTGACAAACTCAGTGTTTGCTTGTCTACCCTCAACGGTTAATGTAGCCAGCAGAACTTTCACACATGGTACAGAAACCAGAGTGAGAGATTTGGGGTCTTAAACAGACGTGTCACCAGTAAGCCCCAGTGACCTTTTGCCAAATGCAAAATCATCAGCTCCTCGGTAGAAAAGGGTCTCCCCATTGTGTGGCCTTCTCAGTTACCCAGGGATCCTTGGGTATCATCCCGCCCACAAGCTGAGAGAAGGAGGATGGTAGCTGCTTAGGGTGATTTCCCTGACAATATTTCCGGCTCGCCCCTGGAACATTTCTAGATCAGAGCTCCAGAAGAGTCTAACTGAGCAATGGTTAGGGTTATCTGGAGGTAAAAGACTGCTCTATGCATGTGCATAGACTAAAGGTATACCCTTCTCCCTGTTGAGGCAGGCACAAAGAAACTGAATATCTTAAAGCCTGGGATGTGGGAAAGACCATGGGTTTTGAGGTCAATGCATCTGGGTCAGGTTTCCAGGTCTACCATTTATTATTTGGGTGAGACTGAGCAATTTCTTTAACCTCTCTGAGTATTCTAGCCTCATAAGCAACTGTTTGAGGTAGAGGTTAATATTATACCCACTGTATATGAGGAAAGGAAGACTCAGAGAGGTCAAGCAATCAGCCCAAGATCACAGAGCCAGTAAGTAGCAGAGCGAGAATTCAAGCGTAGGTCTGTCTGTCTGACTCAGCTGCCCTACTTGGCCCAATTCCCCTCTATTACCTCAGTGATCTTGGAGTCCCCAGTCCACATTCCACTTCTGGGCACATGTTGGGGCACAGCTCCAAACATAAGTCCAGAAACAGCTCCATGCACATTACTAGTCCCAGATCTAGGCAGAGTTCTGGAAACTTGAGATCTCTGTAGAAGAACGAAAGAACATGGCGGTTGGAATGCCTGCACATTAACCAACAGTGGAATGTCACCGCCCTAAGACTTAACGCATTCTTGGGGTGTGTCGAGTGAATACGGTAATGTTAACCAACACTGTGTGCTGGGCACTAGGTCAGCGCATCGTGTATTTCTACACTCTCCCTTCTTTACAATCAGCTGGGGAGCAAGGCCATATTCCCCCCTCCTTGCTTTTTGGCAGATTGGGGTGGGGGTGGAGGGGGGGAAGAATGAAAGAGGAGGAGTCTAATTAGGCACTGATGCTTGAGTTCACTATTACCTGTAGAGGTCTGCCTCTCTGGGGCTCTGGAGAGGGGAAGATTCTACTTGCTGATATTTCAGGCTCAGGATCCAACATGAAGATGCTGTCATGGGAGAGGGCTTTGCTGCCCATGCTGCTCTTGGCCCTGAACAGGAAGGAAAAGGTCTTGTAAGAGCAGCCCAAGGGCTGTAGGAACTGAAGACACGTGTATATCCATAGCATGACATATCACAGACACCTCAGAAAGGGGGCAAGGATACACAGGTGCTGACAGAGAAGGTTTTCCATGAGAAATGAAGTGAAAAAATAAAGAATAGTACGGTCTCATTTAATATATATGCCCAAGGGCACCTGGGTGGCTCAGTCAGTGAAACGTCTGCCTTCGACTTGGGTCATGATGCCCGGATCCTGAAATCGAGTCCCACATCCAGCTCCCTGCTCAGTGGGGTGTCTGCTTCTCCTTCTGCCCCCTCCCCCGCCACTCGTGCTCTCTCTTAAATAAATAAATTATATATATATATATATATATATACCTATATTACATACACATATAGTTTATGTTCATAGAAAAAAATCAAGAAGGATATCCACCAAATAATTAGTGGCAGCTCCCTCTGGGGAATGGCATTGGGGGCAGGGGGAAGGAACCTTAATTTCCTACTTTATGTACTTCTGTATAATTTTGATTTTTTAAATTATCAACACATATCTATTTTATATAATAGTTTTGAGATATGGTTTACATACCATACAATTCATTCATTTAAAGTCTATAATAGCAGCAATGCTGTGGAATGGGAGGAAAGATCCTAAGTCTATTATTAAGGTAAGAGTTATAAAAGATCTTTCACACCCAAATTTCTCTCTAGTGTTTTTGTTTTGATTTAAAATACCAAACATCTGCCCAGATACTGGAGACCCTCATTCACTAGATTTTTTCCTCTTTCACACAAGGGCTCTGGGGTACATCTGTCTGATTTTCAAAGCCATCTTATGCACCCACCCCCAGTTTGTTAACCCAGATGGAAATACCTTCTGATTGGGAATAAAACCAGGTTGACAACAATTAAGCGTTAAGGCAAATCAGGGAAAAGTTAGAAACAAATGAAGGGCTAACAGCACAAAAGACTCCTTTTGGAATGTTGGGAATATATTTTACCTGTGAAAAATTTCAACCAAAGACATCACAAGAAAAGAAGACTACAGACTAATATCTCTTATGAAATAGATGTAAGAATCTTCAATAAAATACTAGTAATCTGAATCCAGCGACATAAAGAATTATACACTATTACCAAGTAGAACTTGCAAGAAATGTGAGGTTATCTTAATATATGAAAATCAGTTAACATAATACGCCATATCAACAGAATAAAAACAAAAACTGTGGGGTCATTTCAATAAATACAGAAAAAGCATTTGTAAAATCCAAATACATAATAAATACACTCATGATAAATACTCTCAACCTTGACAGAGGACACCTGTGAAAAACTCTCAGCTAATGTCACACTTAATGATGAAAGACTGAATGTTTTCTCCCTCAGATTAGGGACAAGACAAGGATGTCTGCTGTTGCCACTTCGATTCAACCTTGTCCTGGGGGTTCTAGCCAAGGCAATTAGGTAAGAAAATTAAATAAAAGGCATCCATAATGGACAGGAAAATGTGAAATTATCTCCAATCATAGATGACACAATCTTGTGTATAAAACTCCTAAGGAATCCAATAAAAACTACTAGAACTAATACATGAGTTTAGCAAGGCTACAGGTTAAAAGACCAATACGTAACAATTGATTGTATTTCTATATACTTGCAATGAACAACCCAGAAATGAAATGACAAAAACAGTTTCAATTTTCAACATTTACAATAACATCAATAAGAATAAAGCATGTAGGAATAAATTTAATGAAAAATGTGTAAAAATTATACTCTGAGCACTCTAAAACACTGATGAAAGGAGTTAAAGAAGAAAACCTAAGCAAATGAAAAAGCAACCTATGCTCCAGGCCTTGGAAGCCTTAATCTTGTCAAGATGGCAATAGTCCGCAAATTGATCTACAGATTTAATGTGATCACTATTGAAATTCCAGTTGCCTTTTTTCTTTTCTTTAGCAGAAGTGGACAAGATAATCTTTAAATTCATCGTGAAATGTAAGGGGCCACAAACTGATAAGACAATCTTGAAAAAGAAGAACGAAGTTGGAGAACTCACACTTGCCAATTTCAAAACTTACTACAAAGCTACCGTAATCAAGACAGTATAGTACTGCCATGAGGATAGACATATAGATCAATGGAATAGAATTGAGAGTCCAGAAATCAACTCATCCATCTATGGTTAATCAATGTGCAAAAAGGGTGCCAAGACCGTTCAATGGGGAAAGAATAGTTTTTTCAACAAATGATGCAGAGACAATTGGAAAGATACATACAGAAGGGAGAAGTTGACCCTATCTCATACCATATATAAACATGAACTCAAAATGGATCAAACACCTAACTATAAGAGCTAAAACTCTTAGAAGAAAACACTGGGGGGTATATTTTCATGACCTGGATTTGGCAATGGATTCTTAGAATATGACTCCAAAAACTTAAGCAACTGAAGAAAAAAATAAATGGATTTGATCAGAATTAAGCTTCGAAGGATACTAGCAAGAAAGTGAAAGGACAACCCACATAAAGGGGGGGGGGGAATATCTGCAGATTGTATATCTTTTTTTTAAAGATTATTTATTTGAGGGGCCCCTGGGTGGCTCAGTCGTTAAGCGGCTGCCTTCAGCTCAGGTCATGATCCCGGGGTCCTGGGATCGAGCCCCGCATCGGGCCCGCTGCTCGGCGGGAAGCCTGCTTCTCCCTCTCCCACTCCCCCTGCTTGTGTTCCCTCTCTCGCTGTGTCTCTCTCTGTCAAATAAATAAATAAAATCTTTAAAAAAAAAAAAAAGATTATTTATTTGAGAGGAAGAGAGCAGAGCGAGCGAGAGAGAACACGAGTGGAGGGGGGAGGGGCAAAGGGAAAGGGAGGAGCAGATGACCCCCTGAGCAGGGAGCTTGATGTGGGGCTTGATACCAGGACCCTGGGATCATGACCAGAGCCAAAGGCAGACGCTTAACCGACTGAGCCACCCAGGTGCCCCTGCAGATTATATATTTGATAAGGGATTCATATCTGGAATACATGAGAAACTCTTACAATTTAATAATAAAAAGATAAAGAACACAATTTTTTAAATGGGCAAAGGATCTCAATAGATATTTCTCCAAAGAAGATATACAGAGAGCCAACAAGCACATGAAAAGATGCTCAGCCTTTCACTAGCCAGTCAGGAAATATAAATCCAAACCATAATGAGATAGATACCACTTCAGACCCACTAGAATGGCTAGAAACAAAAACTCAGAGAGTAACAAGTGTTGCCAAGATTGCGGAGAAATTGGAACCCCCACGCGCTGCTCGTGGGAATGTAAAATGGTGCAGGCAGGCATTTTGGAAAACAGTCTGGTCTGGTGGTTTCTCAAAAACATGAACATTAAATTACCATATGACCCAGTATACTCCTAGGCATATACCCAAGAGAAATAAAAACATACATTCATCCAAAAACTTGTACACAACTGTTTGTAGCAGCATTCTCCATAATCGCCAAAAGATGGAAACACCCAAATATCTGTCATCTGATGAACAGATAAAATGTGGTGTATTCATACACTGGAATACTACTCAGTAGGATGAAGGAATTAAGTATTGGATTCATGCTACCACATGGATGACCCTGGAAAACAAAAACGTGCTAAGGGAAACAAGCCAGTCACAAAAGGCCACATACCATATGATACCATTTATAGGAAGTATCCAGAATAAGCAAATTGATAGAGACAGAAAGTAGATAAGTGATCACTTTGGGCTAGAGTGGGGAGGGAATGGGGATTGACTGCTAATGGGTACAGAATTTCTTTTAGGGAGGGGTGGAAATTTTAAATTAGATAAAATAATTGTTTAAAATTTCAGGTACTTTTTTTGCACTTATTACCTTTATTACAAAACATTTACTATAATACATGTAGGTTGGCGCTTTAAAAAATACTTTTTTTTCCCCTAAGTAGGGCTCCACGCCCAATGTGGCACTTGAACTCATGACCCTGAGATCAAAAATTGCATGCTTTACTGAGCCAGCCAGGCACCCCTAAAAAACAATCTTTCTTTTTTTTTTTTTTTTTTTTTAGAAAGAGAGTGAGAGCGAACGGGGGGAGGGGGGGAGCAGAGGGAGAGAGAATCTTAGGCAGGCTTCACACCCAATGCAGAGCCCACTGAGGGGCTCGATCTCACAATCCTGAGATCATGACTTGAGTTGAAATCAAGAGTGTAACACTCAACCGACTGAGGCACCCAGGCACCCCCCCCCTAAAAAACAATCTTTAAATGGTACCCAGAGTAGCAGCTCAGGCACTGTAGGACCAGCCCCCACCCCATCATTGTGAACCTATCTGACTGTGGGACATGCACATGGATCGATCTGATAACCACACGCTCCAAGGACAATCGGGTGTTATGGGGATTGAAATGGCACCCATACCAAGGTAGCCTGTGGGCCAGCAAGAGGAGAGGAGGCAGATGCCTTCGTACTACCCACTTCTTCTTCTGCCCCCACTCCCTCCTGTCCTTCCCCCACCCCGCAAGCCCTGTGCGCACTTGCCTTCTTGGTGTGGAGAACGCATCAGAACCAGTGGACCATCTTGGAGGCGGACGGACAAGTCGGAAGGGGGAAATGCAGAACTTTAGGAGAGATGGCTCTCGCTGATTTGTAGAGACGAGGCAGAGTAGACCCAAACTCCCCCCCCCCCTCTGGTTTATAGCAGGGCTAGCGTAGGCTACTGGGAGCTATTGGGCTGTGGTCTATATCATGGCATGATTTGTGAGGTATGAAACAAACCCCTCTGTCCAAAACCATTCCCCGCAACCCCCAGCAAAGCTATCTGAAATTCCTCACACTCAACGCACTCATGAAGGGCCTCCTGAAGGAGACCGAGGTGCTAACTGTCGTGTTTGCTGACTGTCCCATTTCCAGCAAGCCAAGCCTTGAGGGAGAGGGTCGCGGCACAGATGAGCTCTGTGGGCGGTGCAGATAAGTCTGGAATGTTCGGGCCAGGGGAACAGGCCCAAGTGGAACTGCGTAGAGGGGGAGCTGATGGAGCCAGGGAACAGCCGGGGGTACTGGATGGTCAGATATGGAAGTGGGGGCGTCACAGATGAAAACTGGAACAGGGTGGCTGAGAACCAGTCTTCCCCATTCTGGGACCAGTTACAGCATCTCCCTCCGCCCCCCTCCCTGCCCCGTCTCCTGGGATGTTGCCAGCTCCTTTTCTTTGTTTGTTTTTACATTAACACAAGTGATTTCGCGCCGTGGCCTCCACCCAGCTCAACCTGGCTTCGGCGTCTGAGATTTTAATCACACATTAGGAGATGGAGCCTCCCCTGCTGGGTAAGCACAGGTCTATAGTCTGAGGGCCGGGCAGGCTAACCAGGCCCGGCTGCCCGCATGAGGCAGGCTGTCTTTATGCTATTGAACAGAGGCCTCCAGCGCCTCACTAGGGGTGGGCCGCATGGGTCACACAGCTGTGACAGGGGAGGGCCGCCCTGGTCTGCCTGTACCCAGTGCTCTCGGGGTCAGGGACGTGCAGCGGCCAACCTACTGAGCTTCGCACCCCAACAATAAGCATCGGGGTGAGCGCGGAGAAGAGCCCGCCGGCCACGGCCGCCCACCGGGCCTTACCTGGCCTCAGTATGCTGACCTTCCCGAACTGGCTTCAGAGAAGGGATGTTAATACTGTCGCTGGACAAGCTTGGCTTTAGCCTCCTCGCTCTCTGGGCATCTTCCAGCTCTTTTTTCTTCCTCTTGCCAAAAAAGTTCTTGAAGGCTTTGAATTTGGATTTCTTCTTTCCTGGAAGTTAAGGAAGGAGAGCGAGGCAGAGTGTGACAGTGGAAGGGGAGATGGGGAGGAAACGGGGCCTCTGTGACAGGAACAAGGACTGTGATCCCAGATGCCCTGCAGACTTGGGCCTCGCCACCCCCCCACCCCCACCCCGGGGCCCAGGACACCACACCACCATGCATGTGGCCTGCTCCCTTCTTCATAACTCCGTAGGACAAAGTGTCCGAGTTCTGGGGAGAGCAGAAGCTCGGGCCCCAGCTTGTGGTCTTCGGGCAGGCCTCTCTTCAGGCCCACCTCACCAGGCATCCACTTGCCTGGCCCCTGCAACCATGAACACACACCTCGGTCCTGACCCAAGAAGTTCATTCGTCTGCAGCAATTATTGAGCCCACGTAAGCACAGGGTGCCCCCCTGACTTCACACTGGTGTCTGGGGTCACCGCCACCCAGGTGGGGAGGCGAGCTTCCACATGTGAGAAAGCCCCTCAGGACCCCTGGAGTTGCAGGTGGGAGCTGGGACTGGCCAGCTTGTGTGCTGAAAGGACGCCGACCCGCGGGGCGAGTGCTATCGGGGTGGTGCAGTCAGGGAAGCTGTCCTCAAGGAGGGAATTTAGGAGCGAGGGAGAGGGCTGGGAATTGGGAAGAAAGGGCCACCAGGCAAAGAAGCTGCCTGGGCAAAAGGCATGACAGAATCAGATACCAAAGGGTTTTGCAAGGAGTGCGTGTGTGCATGTGTGTGTGCGTGCATGTGTGTGTGCGCGCGTGAGTGCGTGCATGTGTGTGTGCGCGCGAGTGCATGCATGTGTGCGTGCTTGAGTGCGTGCGTACGTGTGTCTGCGTGCGTGAGTGCGTGCATGCACTATGTGCACTGTGTGTTCTTCCGTTTTTGCCGGTTGGTTTGGATTATCTAGGGGGCTACTGCTCGCTGCACCTGCACATAATTGCAAGTTTGCGCTATCTACATTAACCACCAGGGCAGAAGCAAGGCCTTGGAGCTTTAAATGCTCCTAAGGCTTTGTTAGGGCTTTTTTTAGTTTCCTAACAAGCACCTGTATCTTTACTGGGGCTCAGCAGAAGAGGGGCGAGGAGAAGGGAGTGCGTGCTGCATTCTTCAGAGAATCAGCTCTTACTGCTTTCACACGCCATAATTTACCAGCATAGGTGTCTCATCCAAATTCCCAACAGTCTGGTCTCTGGAAGGCCTCTTGCCAGCATAGCAATGTTGCCCTGGCAGGGAAGGGCCCAGGCAAGGGAGTTGCCAATGGGGCTGCCATTAGAAAGGCTTAGTGGTGTAACGGAGAGTACCACCCAAGAGTCAGAACAGTCTGGAATCCTCGACTTGGCTCTGCTATCAATTAGCTCTGTGACTTTGGGTAAGTCACTCAACCTCTCTGGAACTCAGCAGGAAAATGAAGGGATCACACCAGTCAGCATCTCCCAAAGTGTGTTCAGAGGGCTATCATTGGTCTATTGCATGAGAAAGGGGTCTGCGGACCAGTCATTCTGAGAAACACTGGATTAGGCAAAGTTTAGGGATCTGCTTTCCAACAAGACTTTTCTGGAACTTCAACATGCCTATGTGAACAGTGAAGCTTTAAGATACTGGGCAGCAATGTTGTCTCCCAAATGCATGTAAGCAGAATGTCTGGCAAAACACGCTATGGGAAATGCTGAACTAGGGTTCCTTCTAGCTCTGGAATCCTATGGCCTATGAAAAAGGTTTCTAAACTTCAAGAATTGAAGGGACACTGGCATTCAGTCACAATCAACCCTTCTCTCTGTATGCCTAAAACTTGACTGTTGGCCTTCCAAGTTTTACACCTGAATGCCCTCTAGTCTGCCTATCCATCCATCCACCCATCCATCCATCCATCCATCCAACAAATATTTAAGACCAAGCACTTACCATGTTTTGGGTATCAACGAGAAAGGAGTAAGATACAGTTCTGTGTCTTAGCTACTGTTCCCCACATCAAGGCTGTAGGCAGGCCCTCTTTTGCATCCCCTACAGCAACCGACGCTGTGAAAGGCATGCAGTAGCTCCCAAGGGACAACTGAGTCCATTGAGGGATGCAGAATACCAACACAGCTGTCACTTCCCTTAAATTAAGGTCGCCAAGCAGAATCATCCTTAAGCATCCTATAATTTAAACACTGGCCCTTGTCAGGGTTGATATAAGTTGTAAAAAGTGTAGGTAAAGAGCTTAGCATAGGGTCTGGCATGGTGCAAGTGCTAATAACTGTGAGCTAGTACTAGGGAATCAATAATTACTTGTTTCCTTTTTTAAAAAATTTTTTTTAAATAAACTCTACACCCAACGTGAGGCTTGAACTCACGACCCTGAGATCAATGAGTTGCAGGCTCTACCCACAGAGTCAGCCAGGTGCCCCAATAATTACTTGTTTATTAAGACCAGATTCAATTCTATCTGTAGAATTGGTCTATCAGTTCTATTTATCTATAGATAAGGGGAAGCAGCCCCATATCTATCAATCAATAGTGATCTGTACAGTATAATGATTAGAAGCAGAAGCCAGCGTGGGGTGGGGCAATGCAAGAAGACAGAGGACTGTATGCTTGATAATCACTGCTTAAGTAATTCCTGTTTGGGATGGCTTGGGCCATTTCTCATCTACTAGGATGTACCTAAATAGGGTCATGATGGGGACCAACTTGGCGATTCTACCTACGGATAGAAAGAATAAAACACGAAGATACAGCAGGAAACATATTTTTTTCAAGTTTCCTTCTATAATTTTTTCTCAGGAAAAGTTCAACTAATTTCTATAATGATAAATTATTTAGAACGATGCTTGGGGGTGGCTTGAAAATGATCGAGCATTACTCTACTATACTAATTGCTATGATCAGTTCTTTGCTGGAAAAAATTTATCAACTGGATCTCTTGGGGGAAATGCCTTATCTGTAGTATTTGCCTATTTCTCTGGTGTAAAAGTCCCTGCCAGTTTTCACCCAGAACAGATAAGATTTATTGATTCTTGATGGGTGGTCTCCTTCTGGTCTTCTAAAAGAGGAACAACTTTATGCTCAGAGTGTTCAGAAACATAGCGATCGTTGCCCCTCTTGCTTCAAAATCCCCGACTAGAAGGGAGGAGGGCAAACCTGCTTCTCACAAACCAGCAAAAAGGCAGAGATGAGAGAGTCAGCGGCTAGCGGCCGCACTTGTAACACTATCTATAAACACTTAATAATTGGATAAAAACACTTCTAATAAACATCCGGGCTCTAAAGCTGAATGTACCAAGCATAATCATCGTATGGGCAGACAAAATTAGGCACTGACACCTTTTTATGTCCCTAAACCAGCAAAATGACTAGAGACTTTAGAACCATAACAGGGGCTAACATTTAATGATGCATGTATTTCAATTTCTGTGCCCCCGCTCCCCAGTTTTCCATTTTTGCTGGCCAAAAACAACAACCTATTTTCCCATGAGGATCCAAAATACCTTAAGTAACATGTGTCTCTTTCAACTACGGGCACTAGAAGGAAAATAATGTTTCCATTCGTCCCTGTGGGCTAGCTCTGAGTATGTGGGCATGGGGGGGCAGGTAGAGCTCTGTTGGTAGAGCTGGGGGTGCACCAGGAGATGGTAACCACCATGGTGGGTTGGTGGCTCACTGACCTCGGGCAGTGACTAGGAAGTGGCACACGGCCTTACCGAGCAACCCATTGCCACATATCCAATATCAACTGCAAGAGTCCAAGTCTTTGGCCTGTTTTGGCTTAGGAGACCTCCCGAGCCCCAACCACATCAGACCCCATGTGTGGAGATAGGCCCTGAGAAATAGATACGAGTCTGGGAACAGTCCACAAGCTATGTATTCTGCAACCCCACTGAAATCTGAGAGAGTTGCCCTATATTCAAGTGTATGAAATGGCCTTTCAAGCTCTCTTTTGTAAAGGGGTACCTTTAAATTACCAGCAGCTGAGCCCTGCCCAGGCTGGTTTTCAAAAGAAGCTGAAGTGCCAAAGGCTAGATAGACCTAGGCAGCTGGTAGAGGTCGCCACCCACATTTGTATCCAGCCATGTTTATGTAGGTCACCTCCACACTGGGTAACAAGTGCCCCCGCCAGGTACCGCAGTGGTGGGCAGTGAGCTCCCGGCCACCAGCTTCTGGACTTCTCCTATAACAAAGCCACTGATTTATTTATTCCCAGACAGGAGCTCTCAACATCCTCATCCAATGAGGGCCGTGTGTCACATGCCAGAAAACAGCCCACGGAAAGCAGTATTTTCCCCCCAGAGAGGAAAACACCGTTAACTCCAATGAAGAAATCATCACTTCTGGGTTGTATATTTGCTTATCCACCGCACACACAGGCAGCCCACCTGGGCTGAACTTAATGGGGCTTTAAAAATGCATCGCATGACAGTGACCTTGTTCTCTTGCATCGCTGCTTAGAAAGAAAATATTTCTAACTAGCCTTTCTCTCCATCAACCTCCAAACAGCCACGCTATTCTCTGGCTAGCAACGACTAGCTCTAAAAATGTACCCAACCGTCTGATCTTTTAAAACAACAAAATCTTGCAAGCAGAGAAAAGGCATTTCCTTACCTTCACTCTTCATCAAGATGCACCGCATTGCCACCTTCCTTTGTAGGCATCTGTCTAGCTCATATCCAAAAAGATAGGTCAGTTGGTTTAGTAGGGTGAATGAACAGAATCTGGTGCCTTGGTGAAGAGGCCTATCATTCATTTTTTTATTCATTCATTGAATGAATATTTGCGGGATCTAAGGACTCTCTCTCTGAGACCCAATACAAAACAATGGTGACACCAAAACGAAGCCCCAAGCCCTGCCTTCAAGGATCCGTGCACCAGGTTCAGCATCCCCCGCCCCACATCAGCCCCACATCAGCAGTAAAAGCGGGCCTCTAGGAAGCCACAAGAAGGTTCATTCTGTTCTTCCGGATCAAGTCTTCCACATCATACGCTACTTCAACAAAAATTGGAGAACAACCCAGTGAGCTGTTGCATTTAGTCCTATCTTTAAATTCAATGTCTTATTTTATGTCTGATGGTTCCTTTGCAGTGGAGGGATGTCGATGAGGCTTATCACTATCTAGTGACCTTTGCCTTCCTGAACTGATACTCACTCGCGGTTACATATCGCTCCTAGGTGGCCCCACAATTTAGGGAATGGACACACATCTGAGTAAGTTTTGCAAAAAGAACTTTTGTAAATTGAGTCCCACTTAATAGAAGCCTGTGGTGGCATCTTTGGTTTGTATTCCCCCTTTATTCCTCAAATTACAAAAAAATCTGGATTACTCTCTACAGTAAAACCTCAGTTGAACCTCTCAGGTCATGATCTGCTCCAAATTTTTTTTTTCTAATTAAGCAGAAATATTTCTCCTGCCTTAGTAAGTAGAAACCGGTAACCATCCCCAAAGAAGATTGCAGGGCCTCAGACAAACCTTGTGATATCAGAGTTGGACCCCCCAAAAAAGAGGCAAAGAAACCCTGCAAAGTAAGTGCAGACTGAGTCTAGTGTTATTAGAAATTTGATATGAACTCGTTTGCTTGTGGCTTCCTTTTTTTCCTAGGGGTTAAACACACAGTAAACGAATCTAGTTCTAGATGGCAAGATTCCACTGGGCTACTTACCCTCATCACTGGTGTCCAGAACTTCCAGACTTCCAGAAACTTCACTTAGTGATTCAGCCATACTAGGATCACTAAAGTAAAATATTGAGTGAAAAAGGAAAAGATCATCATTTGATATCCAGGGCCTAACATGCTCGTTTTACCTTACCCTTTATCCTTCTGTTAGATTCTTAAGCCATTCAAGGAAAACCAGACAAAGAGAATTGCCATGAGAGCAAATTACCCTTCCTTAAGAAAAAGCTCATGACTTCATTTATATGAAATGTCTAGAACAGGTAAATACACAGAAATATACATGCAAAAATGTTTATCATTGCATTGTTTTAAGTAGCCAAAAATGGGAAGCAATCCAAGTGACAATTAAAAGGCTAATTCTCTCATGACTCTGATTCCATGTCATGGGAGAATCATCCATCCTTATGCTTTTCTCCATCAGTACAGATAATCAATTGAGCATCAACTGTAAATTTTCCATTCAGTCTAGCCTTCTAGCAAAAGCTAGGGCTGACAGGTCTAGGGAAACATGTCTGTGGATAACCAGATCTTTAAAAATCAATGCTGACATTTTTGATGTGAGTTTGTGTGGGTTGGGAAGGGGGCTCCGACCAGCACCCTAACCCAGAGAAAGGATGCTATATTCATACACAGCTGGGAAGCTGTAGAGAGGCGGGTAGAGCTGGGCCTCATAAGAGCTCCCCCTAGGGTCTTGATCCGACCAGTTGAAGGACCATCAAGTGGGGGTTAAGTAGGTTCTGGAGCCCCATTTCCCACCCCAGATCTGCTCAGCTCCCAGACATAGTCAAACTGCCATTGCTGTTTTGTGCATGGATTCCAGGCCAGTCCTGTCCTGCCCTCCAGCCATACACCCCTGATACATCTCCGGAAGTAGAGAGGGATGCCCGTAGGCTCTGAGGTTAAGGCGGACTTGAGAGGTCACCAGCAAGAGTGACTGAGGCCTTGGAAAGCAAACGCTTCCAAACCACAGTGAGGGCTGACAGGGCCCTGGTGTCGAGATGGCTTCAGACCCTCTCACTGTGAAGTCCTATGACTTCCCATGGTGTGAGTTCTTTCTAACTGTGATGAGTAATAAACCCAACTCACTCGATGACAGGTGTGTCCTGGCTGGCCTTGGCTGAAAAGTATTGACACTATGTTCAAGTCACTCAAACTCTATGAGCCAATATCACAATTCTGCCTGAAGATGACTTAATCCCAAGCCCATACAATGCTCCCTAATTCTCACGCGCACACACACACACACACACACACAAGTTCCACCTGGAGATTTGGGAGGAGCAAAGGGATGGAGAAAGTCAGAAGTCCCTCAGAAATCCCGAGGGAGGACAGGAGAATTCCTTGAGCTAGGAGCAATTCACATCATGGGTGAGTTCCTGGGCCAGCATAATAAACATAGCAGCACCCCCGCCCCGACACTAAGGAAGGCTTTTTATACCCTAGGGAAATAAACTCTCTCTGAGCTTTGGAGAAGTCCATAGAAAAGGAGCCTGTTTTCCAAAATACCAGGCCACAGTAGGCTAATATTGTCCTTAACCCACCACTGACAGGGGTAGAAGACAGTGAAGCAACAACAAAAGAGGAAAATACAGAAGCCAAGAGGGAGAACAATGAAAGAGGACACCTTGGTGGCATCTGAATCCCTTAGAGCAATTAATAGAATCACTCGATTTGACTAACTCTCGAGTGTAGACTGTCTCCGATCCTTCCTAGCACACTTGCCTCATCCTCCTAAGCGAATCCCAAGGACCCTGAAGACAGCACCACCATCAGCTGAGCTGTCTCCCTGTCTCAACCAACCAACCAACCAACCACCCACCCACCCAACACAGCGAAACACACATGGCTCCCCTTGATTTGAAATTCTCTTCCCGTTATCACCCCATTTCTTATCACCCCAAAACTTTAAAGGGTTATGTCATCTATACTTACTATCCTTATGTCTTCACTTCTGAGTCTCCTGGGCTCTCTCTCTGAATTGAGGCTTCCGACCTGAACTCCTTCCAAAGCACTCCACCAAAATGGCTCTTATTAAATGCCACTGCAAGTCCCCTGACTTCCCAGCAACATCTGACACGCCCTCCTTTTTGCATAATTTTATCACTTTGCTTATTGACCGTCATACTCCCCTAATTTTCCTCCAACCTCATTGGCTGATTCTTCCTCAAGCTCCTTTGCTTGACCTTCCTCCTCTCCCTAGATCTGAAATGTTGTAGCCCCTAAAGTCTCTGTCCTTGGCCCTCTTTATCTATGACCGTTTCCTCAATCAGTGCCATTCAGTAGAAACATGAACGTGAACCTCCACTGCAAGCCACATGCGTTGTTGCAAAATTCCTAGTAGCCGTATTTAAAAAAAGCCAAAAGAAAACTGGTGGGGTTACTTTGACCTCAGTAGAGCCCAAACATTATCATATTTTATTTAACTCAACAGAACCAAAATATTTTACGTTCTTTTTTTTTTTTCCACGCTAAGTCTTTGAAATTCGGTTTGCATTTCACACAGGTGACAATTTTGAGTGCTCGAAGGGCACACATGGCTAGGGGCTACCACATCCTAAATGATCTCGTTCAGACTTGAAGTACCATCTCTACACTGGACTCCAAGGTGTCTGTCTCTAGACCTGATGTCTCCTCTGTACCCCATGGCCCTATAACCAACTGCCTCGCCAACACCTCCAACTACTGGTGCGTGGAATTCTTGCTTCCCCCATACCCACTCCTTCCCCCACCCCAGTTCCCCCCCTCCCCCGCTCCGAAAAATGCCACTAACCAAATGCTCAGACTGAAATTTAGGAGCTCTTGATTCCTCTCTTTCCATCGTATGCCACATCGAATCCGACAGTAAATCCTGCGAGTCCTCCTTGCATGTATTTCTGGAATCCGACCCTCTCTGGCCCCGTCTGAGCCACCATTATCTTGTTGCTGCATCACTACAGTGACCTAACCGGTCTCCTCGCTTCCTTGTTTGCCTCCTATTCTCCACACGGTGGCCACGTCTGTCCCACCAGCCCCTTGCTCGAAACCCCCCAGTGACTTGCCATCACGCTCAAAGTCCCAGCTCCTTACGCACCCCCCAAGCCTTATGTGATCTGGCCCCATGCTCGTGCCCCCCTGACCGCCAATCCTGTTACCCTCCTCCTTCCTCTCTCTGCTGCAGCCTCAGTGGCCTTCTCACCATGACCCAACACACCCAGCCCCTTTTGATCTCAGGACCTTGGCACTTGCGGTCCCCTTTGCCCGGAGGGCTCTTTCCCCAGCTAGTTGCACAGTTGACTCCTTTGTAGCTTTCAAGTCAGCTCAGATGTTCCCTCCCAGGAAAGACCTCCATGACCATCCTGGTTAGAGCCTCTGGTCTCTCTCCATCACATGACCCTTTATGAACATCCTTACAGCACTCAGTACTACCTAAAATCATATTCTACAGTAATTTACTTGTTTCTTGTCTGTCTTCTTTACTGGAATGTAAATTCCATAAGGTCAGGGGCCTTGCATATTCTGTCCATCACTGGATCTCCTAGCCCCTAGAATGATACCTAGCACACAGCAGGCCCTCAATAAATGTTTGGTGCACGAATGCTTAAATTCAATAAAAGAAGGGGAAGTAACATAAGAGCCATCTTTGTGGTCAGAAATTTCTTAGAAGTAGAAGCATGCTGTAGGAGCGCTTGTCCTGGGGGAGCGACCCCCTTGTTTTCCCAGCTTTGCAGGGCCTTCCTTCCCTCCTAGCGAGGTGGGCCCCACTCCTAGGCTGTTCATCTATGCAGAACCAAGCACACTTGGGCCCCTCCTGTCCTTGGTGTAGAGAATCTACTCGTAGGTGTCCCAGCCACGAGAACCCTGGGTGTGGAGCCCCACTCAGCTGGGCTAGGCCCGGAACCTCACGGAGGAAGCTTCAGGAACAGATACCCTGCCTTCTCCTACTTACAGCCCTCCACCCCTGGCAAAACTCCTTTCCTGTTGGCCTTGGGCTGACCTTATGAACCAGAGCTTTGCTTCCCAAGTACCTCCTCACAGAGGCATCGTTGTATTTCTTTCGCTTCTCTCATGATGGCTAATCTAAATCTAAAGTGAATTGGTTCCTTCGTTAGACCAGGCCTCTTTAAAAATGGCCTTTGGGCCAAGTCCTCTGGTCTATGCTTTTGTGTATGAATGATACTTAGCAAAAACTGCTGTCACCTCATTGGTATCTCAAAAAAGTCACAATGTTTGGTCTTGATCGTGAGCCTCCCCAGCTTCAACTAGTTCATCAACTTCCTGCTGCCGGTAGGATGAGAGCCAAGTCCTTGACTCTCGAGGCCCTCCGCAATCTGGTGTTCCCTGCCCCTCTCCGTTGTACCAGAAGTCCACCCCCCACTCATGTCCTCACGCCCAGAATTACCCGTCATTCCCCAGACGCACCAGGTGCTCTCACGTTCAGTGCTCTGTCCGCTTGGCCTAGAACGTCAACTCCCTCATCCCCACATCCTTACAATCCTACCCGTTCCTCCAGACCCAGCTCAAAGGTCTGTGCCCCATGCTCTTGGTCCTTTGCCTCCGTCACAGTTGATATCACCTTGAAGACAGGGACCACATCTTGCCCACCCAGATGTCACCAACACCTAGAACGAGGCCAGGCGCATGGAAGGCTCTCGCTGCATGTTTTTCCAGATGGACGAACACAGGAGCAGGGAGTAGGGGGTGCTGCGGTGACAAATAGGAAATCGGTAGGGAAAGCGGTCCCCTTTTTTAAACACATGGGGACAATATGAGACACACTTTCAGTAAAAATCCCCTCTGCACAAAATCCGTGAAGAAATTGGCAAGCCGAGTAGGGAAAGAGGAAAGAACGTATGCTTTTATCCAGTGAATGAGAGGCCTTCAGAACCACTTCCAAGGAGCATAAAGTCATGTCATAACGGGCATCAGGAAGCCCGGCCCAGCAGGGATCTAAAGTTTCATTATCAGTCATCGTTTAAATGCTTGCTTGCTCTGGGCCAACCCTAGATGCTTAGGCCTCGCAGCTGCCTATTGCTTCTCAGCCTGTCTGACTTGAGGGCTGAACAAGGGCTCTAGGGGG